TCTCTCTCTTTCTCTCTCTCTTTTTTCTGTGAGTTTAACATATCTGTTCCAATCGGAGCGATGCTGTTGTGATAATGGTTCCTGCAAGGATCTCTGCGACCGACGCTGCCCGGCTGTGGCCCAAGCTCCTCCACAATGAAGAGCAGTCGGTCAACTCAGATGACGTCAAAGCTCTGCTGAGTTTGTGCCGCTTGGCGCAGCCCTCCAGTCAGTGACCATGAGTGTATGTGATATAGTAAAACTGTCGCGAGCGCCGTATTGTCAGGCCAGCACCAGCATAGAACTCTGACTACCAGTGTTCATGCGAACTTTGGCTCTTTCTCTAGTCTACTGAGTACTAATTACTGGTCTGATTTGTGTAAACCGGGCTGTTTCGGAAACGTCGATCGACAAGGGGGCCAGTCTTGACTCGAAAAACACTGGCCACCATTCCGCTGCGATGTGTTTTAAGTTGTTAAGTTGTTCCGAGATCACCATTGCTATATGTCTGCTTTGCGCATTGTTGCGATGATTACTCTTGCCCATGCGTTGAGTATCAGTAGTTCTTTTAGGACAGCAAAGCAAACGTACGGATCGTGCCTTCCAAAGTTGTTGTTTCTGTGCCTCTGGCTCCCAGTGAGTTACTTGAGGATATATCTCTGTGCGTATGGTCAATAGTTAGAGGATGTTAATGATGTTAGAGGATTTTGTTTTTGGCTCTTCTCTTGGTTTCAGCTGCTTAGCGAAGTCGAAGCGGGTTGCCATTCATAGTACGCGGTTCGTTCGAAACACGAAGCTCAAATTCTTCGCTCGGTGTTGCATTCTGCGTTGGAGCTTTCGGGCCCGGGGCTCCTTGCACGACTCTTCGACGGCTAAGAAGTGCATTGCTCGGGCCTTCCTGCCCTAAAAAATGTTTTTTCTTGTCGGGAGCACCTCTTGGAATGCTCTTGGAGTACTTCGGGCTTGCGGAAGTTTGGAGATGTCGCGCTGGCTATGCCTTTACCACGGCCACTTACGCCTAATCGGCCTAATCCATCCATCGCCATCAACTGCTAGATTGAATCATGTAACTTCTCCAGCGGCATGGAGAAGTTGGCAGCTTTCAAGCCATTGGGCCGTGGACATGGCAGGGGAAATTTCAGGGCTGTGAACAGGGCATCGCGGAGGGCCGACTGAACGATGACGAGCGAAGTTCCAACTTATGGCATTGAAGAGTGGATGGTGAATCCGGCACTTCCTTTGCATAGCGCTTCCACCCGCCTTTGAGCGGCAAGTCGCACATATATCCCGACAAGCCACACCCCAAATTCAGTCTCCATCCCTGGCCAAGTGCAGGAGTACATTGCTAAGGCAGTCAGAAGTTGGTACCAGGTCCCTTAGTTCCTGTTCTCAAAAGGATCACAGTGCACTGAGAGACGTTGATCGCCCTTCTGGGGGGGGTCAGGCGAGACACACGGCCTCGAGATGCCAAAATTCTCGCAGGCGTGCGGCGTGTTTTCCTGTGACCCTGGTAAGTGTTTAGTAGGCTTGCTGTGGGCAGTGCGGTTGATGACTTTGGGGATCTGATGACGGGATGACGTTTAGTGGTTCAGCCTAACACCGAAGGCGGCTCTACTTCAAGAACGCATCAGGTTGAGTTTCACTTCCTGGCACAAGTCACGTTGGGGTTCGAGCATACAAGGTTACATGGTGACACCCTCCATGTTTATCCCAATTCTCGAACCCTCAAATGTTCTGCCGCCAGGCGATTTGCAAGTCGATGAAGCATTTTGCCGTACAAGCGCTGTCAGACTCGAAGCTCCCGGAGGCGGGTAGTACCAAACCCAGGTATCGGATGCTGTCCAGAGTTTAGGACTTCTCATGCCCTGTTGTAGGTGTATTCGGTATTGTCGTGATGTACGACGCACGGGATTTCTCCGCATGCTTTGAAGCAGTCGCGACTATCACATGATTCAGGGGCCTTCGTGCATTTTGCCGGAGGCCCGTTTGGCGGCCATCCACGTTCTTCGGGAGCAGCACAAGAGCGGTGCCACTGCTCCACCTGCCGGCATCAACGCGCTTTGCTATGATCCGGTCCATGTTGTCCGGGCAGCTGCCAGAGATCAGTGGGTGGCATTGGGAGGCAAGGCTAGAGATGTCACGGTGTGTCCTTCGGTCGGTCACTTGCAGTTTTGCGGCTTTGAGAGTTCCGGACGCGAGGCAAAGATGAAGGATGGAGGAAGAAGAAGACTGACGAAGAGAAAGAAGATGAGGAGGACGATCAGTGAGCCTCCAGGGGTTTTTGCTGAAGGGCACGGGGGACAGGGCACGCCGTGAGCTGCAATGTATTCGGAAGAGGGAAGAGAAACCATCACAGATGGCGAGCTTGCCTGTGCCTGCAGCTGTTTCTTCTTGCTAGTGCTAGCAGATCCGGTCCAGGCCCTAACTCTTGCAGAAGAGTGTTATTTTATGTTATGAGTTTCGCGAGGTCGTCAGGACCGGTTGCCATCGCTTTGCATGTTTGCTCGGCGTTCGTCGGTCCCAGGAGTTGTGAACTGTTGAAACGGAACCGCACGAATCAGCTGGCTGACGTGTACAGAGTGCAACGCTTAGCTTGCAAAACAGGTTGCCTTCAGACACGAATCAACGAGATGTGCTGAGCGTGCGGAAGCCACGTCAACTTCCCACAGACTCAGACGCAAGTGCCAGCTCATGCCAGCTCCAACAGCCATTGCGCGCTGTCTCTCAGCAGGTATGTCACCCGTAGGCCTTAGGCTGGGCAGCTGCACAATGGTGGCCCGCTCTTAGTGGGAGCTGGAACATGTCGTCTTCGCAGGACGCTTCCGTGGGGACTCAAGAGAATTAAGGGACCTGAAAATCGAACCCCCAAAATTAGACACAATTAGTAGGATCCTTAATACAAATACCCCAAGTTCAGAGCAACCGCTTTTCGGACGAAGGTTTCCGCGGCGTCGTTGCATCGCTTCTGAGTGACTCTGAGACGTAAGGTAATAAAACACACTGGTGATGGATTTCCTTGCTTTGTGCTGTGTTGTTGCTTCTTCCGAACTGGTAGTTCCATGAAGTACATGCCCTTCCTTGTTGCAGTTCGCTTTACCGCCACCCGTTCAGAGATTTGCAGTGCTTGGCATAGCGGCTTGCGAAGCGGCACCCCAAGAAGAAGCTACTCCGGTTTTCTGAAGCTCCCACGTAAGCAGAAGCTATGACATTGTGCAGCTCCTGGGTCAGGAGCTTGCGAGACAGCTATCAGGCGATGATGCTCGGATTGTGGGTGAAGGGAAGCCATTATAGTGACAAAAGTAATGATGACATGTATTAATTATGGTACCATTAGTATTACTATTACTGTTGCTATTTCTATTGTTATTATTAGTCGTTACCACTGCCATTGCCTCTACCACTGCCACGAAGACGAAGACGACGACTACCATGGTCGTAATCGTCGTCGTGTTCGTCGTCGTCGTCGATGTCGTCGTCGTCGTAGTAGTAGTCGTCGTCGTCGTCGTGGTAGTAGTAGTAGTAGTCGTCGTCGTCGTAGTAGTAGTAGTAGTGATAACAAGATCTGCAGCACTTAACTTCTTAAGTGACGCTACCGAGGACAAGAAAGCAGCCATGCGCAGTTTCTTCAACTCGTCAA